GGCACCTCTATGCCCCTCACCCGGAGCAGCTTTTCTCGGGAGGCACTCTTGACAATTAATTACTAGTGGTCCAACCAATGATGGCTCCAAACCTAGCCTTACCTAAACATGAGCTTATCTATGATATGATATACAGTGGCGAACCATCTATAATCGAGATGGCACGGGTCGCTGGCTGCAATAAGAGTACTATTTCAAGAATCTTTTCTAATATTAGGGCCAACAAGGGCGTGGAGACTTTAGATTTCATTCTGCTATCTAAGCGGGGTGGCCTTCAGCAGCGCGGTGCCACAATTAGGTGGAGTTCTCCTATGGCTAAGCTAAAACCATCTGCGCCTACGGAGTAACTCATCACTAAATCACATAAATCAAAGTCATATGTGAAAAGTCATTAATTCAATCGGGTCAGACTCTTACTAGCAACTCTTCATACAAGTGACGGAGATAAGCAAATCGAAGCTCGGCAAAGTCGTCCTAACAGGCTGATGAGTATGGTTAATTGGCGTCTACCTAGTGAAAAGGCGGTAGTGACGTGTCCATTGACGCATTGACCAGTGGAGTGACGTAGCGTAGGTGCCAAAAGTCTCGCAAATTCTCCAATTACGTACGAAAGTTTAGATCAAGCAGGGCTATGGCCCGTTCCCTCTAACATAAAGAAGTCCACTCGGCGCTTTATGCACAAAACTTGAACGCAAAAAACTCATACTCTACTTTGGACTAATTCTACTTTGCGACGTCGATTACACATAGCGAACATTCGCTTAACGATTAATACCGTTATGGCAGAGAATGATTACGTTGTAAGCGATGCTTTTATTCACAGCCTATAGGTTTTCTAATCAAATAATATAGGTCGTCTTCAAGGACACCGCCACAAACGACCAAATCGATAAATATGCCAATCGTGTCACTAATGCCGGAGGTTCAATCCACTCTATATATTACAGAAATGATAATCCCATTATTTATGGATTTATGTTCGTGTTCTCTCTAACAAGACTTAACCTCCCACTTCATATATGATTGCGCTAACATTAAGCAAAATCAGCGCTGGAATTCCCCACCATATTTATTCTTCGTTTCAAGACGACGATCTCATTGAGTATGTCGAGGATGTCGAGGCTAAGGAGCCACTTTAGTTCGACGACGATAAATTCATCGCCTCTTAAACCGCGAAGTGAGTGTGAAGGGCATTAGATTGCTAGCAGAACGGTAAAGCGGTCAGGTGTTCACTTGTTTGCAGGAAGGTAATTTTGGCTCTTATAAACCATAGCAGCATAATACTGCAAAATGAATAGGGATTGATCTTAGTATGAGGCCATGGAAATAAAGGGCCGTCGTTCCAACCAGGTCTTTTTAGCTATTATTATTAACATGGTTGTGTGTTAGTTTCCACTAAGTGTGTTCCGGGGTGACTATGGCTGACAGGCTGAGTATTATGATAAGCGGGTTCATGGGTAGTCTGTAAGGACAGTAAGCAGTAATGCAAGTCACTATTTGCAGGTCGGGTGCCGAGTAAGCCTCCCAGACCGTCACTTGGATATAGGAGCGGAAGGGAAAAGACAGGTCGCCAGATTATCGAGGGACTCAAGCTCTAGTGTTTGACTTGTTTGTATTTCCCTGGAAAATTCTAGTTCCCTTGTGTTACCAATACAGTTACAAGACGAGGCAACGTATTTTAATGAAAGTAAATCACGGTATCGAGACTGGTACAGGAATATTGATATTCCGGTTTTTACCTAATATGGTATAGTGTTTCTTGGCAATGGGGCTAAATAATCACTCGAAGAGTGTAGGCGGTTGCACCAGTTTCGGGACGTACTGTACAGCAATTTATTCATTTATTTCTTTGCATCATCCATGCGGCACATCTTTCTAATAGTTCTGAGTGCATCCATCCCTTCTATTATCCGAATACGAAGACTTTCATGGAAGGTTGTGAGTGAGTTTAATCCAAATACTGCCTGGCTCGGCCCTACAAACCGTCTTATCCTTGAGAAATCATCTACTTTGACGTTTCTTGGCCCTACGAGCGGATCTGCGTAGTGACCATGTATGTCTCTTACTAGGAAACCCATGAGAGACACGACGGGCAACATTTGTCGGAAGGGAACACATTATCTAGGTGGGCCGGTGACCCACGGTTGCCATAGAGCGATACTGTAATTTGACGCCAGAACATGGCCCCTTCAATGGCTCTAAAAATAACCCAACCAAAAATTTTGCACTCACGTTCCCTCCATGTGGTCACAATAATGAGCCTCCACAGAGACATGTAAGAAGATGACAAGTCGAACGCGTGATAATTCACTCCTATTTCCCTTCGCCATACTGCGTCGAGAAAAGGCCAGTGCGTACAGAGTTGGCATAGAAGTCTACTATGGCTCTTGTATGCGAAGAAGCTCGATTTTTACTGTCGAGTGGCCTATCGGCGTTGCCATTTAAGAAAAATCAATAAGGGAACCCTTCCCTAAGTGCAAGCTTTACCTTTGACGACATATCCTAGGTAGGCTGCTGGTTACAAGTATGATATGTATTGGATTAAATTTGGCATAGGATAGTATGATGGTGAAGAAGAACAAATTAACGATCCTTGAGATAACATCACGAACAATATCCGCGTAATTTGGGTGGAGGTATGGAGAAAGGAAACACGGCATGTACTGGAGTTTCTACAGTACACTACCCTTCGGTCCAAGTAATTAGATGTGCTCCCCAATTTGCTTTTAGCGTATATGAAGGTGTGCTTCGTCAATTAGTCTTATGAACCAACTATGCACAACGAACCAAATCGCAAGTAATCAACTTCTACCTACAATAACGGAAAATTATTCAAGTGTTAATTACAACTCTGGTCTTCGTGGGTTCAGTTAAACCCCGCAGTCCCAGCTAGACTTGCTTTCTCAGCTGTTTTTCCCCTCTGCAGGCTCCAGGTCACGGGAGGACCGAGGGCGGAGATGTCGAAGCCAATATTTTCGATCCTTGCCTTTACTTAAAATGTCATCTTCTTGGCCAACGCCTCCGCTGGGATTGGTGACCGACGAAGGTGCGCTCGAACTCCTCCCTGCATGACCACGGCCCTGACATTGTTGGTGTCTCCGATGCGTCAACCGCAGCGGGATCTGGCTTTCTGCACCCAGTTGTAATGGCCAACTCTTCCGCGAAGACCGCTGAGAACGACGCGGATGTATTTCAATACGTTTCCTCTTTCTGTTTTGCGCTGGTGGGGTGTATGATGAAGAGTCTAAAAGGCGAGAGCTGTCTGGGGGTTTATTTGGCTGGCGCCTTCGTCTGTTGGAAAGTCGGGCCATTTGCGATTGAATGACTAGGAAGAGGTGTATGAATGCAATAGGGCGGAGCATTCAGAGTTATTTATCCCGGCGGAGGGACGTCGCTACATGCGTTCGCTCGTACGATGCTGATTTCGGATGGAAGACACCCGCACCTTCGATGTGACACTATCATGAAGGGATGGACGGCTAGGATATATGTATCATACTCCATTAGAAATGTACGCCATCGACAAACAGGTACCAGCAGGTTGTGGAGGATAACCAGAATGACCTCCACTTTCTAATAAGATTCACTGTGGATCCGGCACTCGAACAAGAATCATCTGCCACGGTTTGCACACGGCCCGAAAGTTCCTACACATAATCCAACAAGGTAAGCCATCAGAATCGACAAGATGATGGCTAGTGCCGCTTTCCAGGCCCAATATTCAGTGGACTAATACTGCATGGGTTGAAAACAGCCCTTAAGACCTCAATCGGATAATGACGTTTAGAAGGGCGCACCTTGTTGCGGTAGACGAGCTATTTTTGCAAAGTCAATTAGAGTAAAACGACGAATTAATTCGGCAAACCAGACAGGAAACGGATGGGTCTGATGAACTCGGACTGTACTAAGTGACTATTCCGGTCAACCGTATCAAGCCAATTACTCTGTGCCTTTGGCACTGAGAAAACCTACATATGGCACAATAATTCTAGTCATCATGTGAAAAGACACGCTACTGACAGAATGAGCCTGACGAGCAACCAGAGGCGCGCCCTGGCGCGGCAGCAATGCCGCGCGGCCTTAGCAGCCCATATTCGTAAGAGCCCATTGAAAATATCCTACCAGCGTCGCACATACTACAGATATCTGACCGAGCCTCTCAGATGAACGGCTGGGCCTGTTAGTGCCTCCGCAACACGTGCGCTTACAGCCATCCGCAGAGGATGGATACGCGTGGTCCGTGTTGCAGGGTAAGGAATATCTGCTGGACAAGAACCTCGGTAACGGTACAGTGGGCCGCTATGAAGACATAATGAAGCAAATTGGTTCATCGTTCGAAGCGGTGACCCCGCAGAGACAGCAATCAAAACCCGCAGAACATATGACAACGTTAAGTGATGAGGTGAGTATCTGCTGTCCCTTTTTCTATCGTCAGGGTGAACAAACAAAATTGACACGCTCAGCCCGAATCCTCCGAAGCCAGTTCCACATCCTTCACGGAGATGATCCAGCAGCTGGAACACGATAAACACGTCCTCGCCGTCGAGCTTGAAAGCACTCGAGCCTACTCGTCGCAGCTGCTCCGCAAAGACGGTGAGTGGCAAGAAAAGACCTGTAATCTTGAAAAAGAACTACACGAGTCCAGGTCTTCAGTCAATCAACTTGAAACTGAGCTTGGACGGGTGAAGGAAGGGATGATTGCAGCCATGACGGTTTTGCGGAGCTGCCAGCATTCGAAAGCAGACAGCACTAGCCTAGAATCGAATGATGAGAAGCCTTAAACGCCTTCATGCATGCGTAAGCCTAGAGACCCTATAGATCTTCCTCGATCGATTCTACCAATCAATCTTTGAGAGATGACCAGAGGTTTGGACTACCTCTGCACTATGATATACTAAGCAGTCGCAGTGCAATTCCCCAACTGGAATCTACTGCTGTCGGCTGGTTTTCTTATTCATGGAAGCAAGATCTATTGTTAACAGCACATTTTCTGCCTTGAGCAACATGTGTGTGACTTTTTGGAGCTTATGATGAAGTAGTACTTGAGAAAGCTTTGCAAGCTTCGACCGAAAATCTGGCGCGAGGTAGCTGCAACGGAAAAAGACAACTTGTTATCCATTAAGGTACAGTAACAGCGTAACAGACAAATTAGAAATCTAATTGTTTAAATACCCAAGAGCGTTATTAGCAGACCGCCTATAGTATATTGGCTTTGGTTTATTTGGAAAGTATCAGAAGTTTTACCCGGTTAATTGGAAATTGCGAGTAAAGCATCATTCTAATTTCCCGTGTTACATACTGTACTATCAACTCTCCTCGGACTGCATGCGATCTTTGTCTCAGGCTTCGTAACTCTTCACTGTCACATGGTTGTACTGTTCATTCCTCCTGGACAGGTACCAGCACTTCCAGCAAGACGTTCGCCATTAGCCTCGGAAGTTGGCCGCGCTACGTCTTCTCCTTGTTGTATGAGCGAGTTGATCAACGCTTCGACAGATTTGGGTTCCAAGTCATCTAGCGACATCCCTTGTTGTTTCAGGATGTAGTCGGTAGCAGCCCCAAGCTTACGATTGACGTTGTATAGAAGCTCGGCGACCTTTGAAGTCTCATACAGTTCTTTGTTGGTCTCACGGTGTGACTGTCGCTCTATGGCCAACTCACGCTCATACTTCGCGATAATCTTTTCCGCGCGAAGACTACGCGCGTTGAGCGTCGCAATCGTGTGAAGGATTTCCTGTAAGCGGTCAGCTAAGACCATAATGAGCTATTCATAGGGGGTAATACCGGGTGATCCATCTCTACAGTCTTGGGGCTTGGGGTAGGAGGTCGATAGCTGGCCATTGAGTGTACAGTCGCTTGCGGATGTACTGGGTTCGTTGTTTTCGAGGAAAGTGTGTTTTTTACCCTGGAATGACAGCACCCATACTTATAGACGACTGGACAATATGTCGCGGCTCCGCTGATCACTAGGACAGCGCATTTGCCCGTCTTCACTTGAGGGTTTGATCGTTTGGCTAAGAACAAACCTGCACCCGCAATGTGCCCCTAATTTTGGTGCACTTTAGTCTTGAAGACGATTCTGTTTTGGAAATCAAATAATTGCTTAGTAGTCTATCCGTCCAGTTAGCAAGTAAATGTATTGACATAGCATTATTTTTGTTTTTCATTTTACTCAGGGCACCCCAGCACTAATCGCACTTCAGCATGCTATAATCACATCTGCTACAGTTATGGATTAATCGCCCGCCAGGTTTCATATTGACAACGAAGCTTAACATGTGGCGGACACAACCCTTTAGGTCAACGGCATGCCGAAGATATTCCCCAGGCTTCCCACATGGTTCGGCGTTGAGGTGGTACCCGCTATCGTTCTCAATCGCCACCGCCATCACTTTCTCAAATCAGCATTTCCACCAAACCATCAGACGGCAAGTGTGGGTAATATCTAGCGCTATCAAACTAAAAGTGGAAAATACAATTACGTTGACTCTTCAAAACGATAAAGAAGACAAGGTACTGTATCGAAGAAAGGATTCCATGGTTCTATTTCATCGATCGAGGCAATCACACCTGCGTGCATACATAGCGATTCTAGTGAATAAAGTTTTGAGTGTCAGTTGCTGCATTTAGTGCTCTAGTATATTTGCTCCAGCATGTTTAAATCTTAAGTTCCACTCCAAAACATTCAAATTGGTTCAAACCCCCTCCCAGTCTCTATCCATATGAAATTTAGTGTCTGGACAGACAAGACGGAGGATACCTGTCCCTTCTGAACGGCGGTGACACCGACTACAAATTACCACCGAAGGAGATATTAGGTTGCTAAACTTGAGTTGTGTCGCAAGCCGCAGCTAGGGAATCAATTGAAGGTCCAGAACACATTGAGGAATAGTTATGTTAACGGACGTGCATGCTGAATTCGAATAAGTGATATCGGTGGGTTAAGCGCATGCGGAGTTTTCGATTGCACGGTTGAGCAGCGCTCAACCTTACCACGTAGCATGAAGGCGCGAGAAAAGAATCCTACTTCATAGCCAGGTTGCCACCAAAAGTATCTCCAATTGATTCTCCAACACCTCTAGATCAAAATGGACCAGCGGCAATCTTCATACGAGGACAGAATCGTTATCACTGGTCGATTTGGCAGCTTTGGAGGCCGTTACGCACCCGAGAGCCAGATTGAATTTCTACAAGATCTCACAACTTTGTTCCAGAAGTCCTTGGATGACGTTGGATTCTGGAATGAATACTGGACCTTCTTTCCAAACAAGCCGAGCCCATTGCACCGGGCTCCTACGTTGACGCAGTTGGCGGGGGGTGGCGACATATGGCTCAAACGAGAAGATCTTAATGGCTACACAAGTGCGAGCAGATACAACATTGTTGGCCAGATCCTGTTGGCGCGTAGGATGAACAAAACGGAGATTATCACCGCTTGTACGTCCACGTATCATGGAATTGAGTGCGCTACTTTGTGCGCGACATTGGGAATGGCCTGCACCATTTACATGGGCGCAAAGGATGCCCTTAGTGGGCCCGCCGAGATCCAGGAAATGAAAACAATAGGCGCGACAGTGATTATAGTCAACAGAGGCAACATGTCACTTCGTGAGGCCAGGGGTGAAGCCTTACAATCTTCCACAGTTCGCTTCAAAATAGCTTTCTATGTTTCAATATCCGATATTGGGCCACATCCTTATCCATTGATTGTTCGCACCTTCCAGTCCATCATTGGGGGCCAAGCCATGCGTCAACTGGGAGAGTTTTGTGGAAAGTTTCCAACTTGGGTTGCTGCGCCGATCACGGGAAATGGTACAGCAGTTGGATTTTTCTATCCTTTTTCGAGATATAGCTCCGTCAAGCTTCTTGGAGTGGAAGCTTATGGCGCGGCAGCGCTCTGCTTTGGATCCCATGGGGTGTACAGTGGAGCTTTTACGAACGTCATACAGAATGATGATGGCCAAATCCTTCAGATCGACTCACTATCACCGGAAATGAACTCTCCTGCGAGTGGGCCAGAGCTTTCCCGCTGGAAACAAGGTGGTCAACTCAAGTGCGCATTCGCAACAAGGGAAGAGGCGCTGGAAGGACAGCGAATATTGAAGGATACCGAGGGTATTCCAGCGGGACTTGACACGGCGCACGCGATTCAGAACGTAATAAATACCGCGCAAAAGTTGGATAACGATGAAGTTATTCTAGTTCTAGTCAGTGGACCTTGAAACGTGTTGTACTTTTGCGAGTTCCTCACCCTATCTACCTGTTCAAGAAAAGCACATCTGTGTCTCAGCATTATCATTATTTAACGCGAAATGGATTGGAAGTAATGTTCCGTATGCTTGATGCTGGGTCGCGTTTACCGGTTACTTTCACCTGCAAGTCGTCGTTATATCTCTGGGACTGCTGCTGTACAACATAGCGGGTGCGATCAGTACATATGGTAACATAAATACGTGGAAAAATTGTATCTAATGATCGTGCAGCACCGAGGTGAACGGATCTCAAGGCATCTGGCAGCCTTGGTTCCAGAGTCGTCCATTTCCAGATACAACCAGCAGAAATCATCACAAAGTTCAGCTCTAGGCCAGCCATCAAGGTTCGCATACCAGCGCGACCCATAGATCTCATCACCATATTAATCCTTTGTCTGTTGCCATTAACCGCCAAACTCTTGTGGGAACCGCGAAGCTTGGTCCACAGACGCATTACATAGATAAAACTGCCATCGGGAACAATATTCGAAAAATTGGAGTGGAGATTCGACAGGTAGGCAATCGCGTCAATTAACCGGCTTCACCGCCTAGAGATCCGCGAATGAAATGAGTGACTTATTTACTCCGACTAGGATGTCATACTCTAAGGCCTTCCCCATCGTGACTAAATGTGAGGGATTCAGTTACATGAGGCAATTCACTTTAAACTTCTTCTTTTGGACTCAATCAAAAGGCTGCGTTCAGAGCTTCAAAGTTCTTCCTCGGCTTCCTGAATGACAGTGGCTACTTAATCCTAAAAATGAAGAAAATTTTGCGCTCGGCGGAGCGGATATGTGCCAATGCGATATTAATCTACATATTGCATTTCTTATAATTGTAAGCGCAAGAATTAGCTGCTGATTATGTTTTGGGGCTGATGGATAATTCCGATTCAGTTTATTAACTACTACTCACTTGGAATTACTCAATCCGAATTACTCAGCCCCAATCAATCAAATCCCGTTACAGTACTTAGAACAGCTCAGTCCCAAGTGATATGCGCAGTCACTATGATCTGCAACCCAGCATTCTTTAGTAATACCGTCCACGATTGCTCAATTGCTGAATCAAAGGCTTTGCCAGCATTTTACACGATCCCGGATTTGCAAGCGTATTAATGACAGCCTTTTCATTTCAACCCATAAATTCTGATTGCACCACTACAATTTTCTACGTACGAAAAGAGTTTGAAGCCACGGCTTTCCGGTTCACTTTGGCCAGCTGGCACAATTTCCCCAAACTCTCTTGACTTGTCCCTGGAATACATCATGCCAAAAGACCCCACTGTCCCCCGGACCCGGACGGCGACTTCTGCCCCGAAGGCACGGGCCGGGGCGTCTTCTGTTCAGCCAACTCGAGCGTTTCCCCCGCGTACCAACAATCAACCTCGATCCTCAAACCAAAGAACGCAGCAGTGGCCAGCGGTATGCAGCTGCCATTATCAGATAAATTCAGATTGCGCTAACCATTGCCAGATACTTCCCCCGCGTGGCCCGGAAAAACATCCGCAGGACGACGAGTCTGACGTTGTCCACGCCAATTGCAATACTATTTTCAAGAAGGCTGACCAAGATCGTCGACAGCTCACATCACAACTAAGGGAGGCCACGGATGCTACGCGGAGGGGGAACTCTGAACTTCTTAATCACGAGGGAAAACACGTCGATCAAGACTAGGAGGGGAAAAAACTCGATCCTACTGACTTAACAAATTTCGTTCGACTATATTCGACGGATTAGGCAGTCTACCGCTGATTTACTTTCTCTCATGAGCTTTTTCGACTGGCAGGGGATCCCCGAGGATCTTCTACGGGTGCAAGACATAGACAGAAACCATGACCATTTGGGTTTTCCGCAAGACGTTGGGAATAGATCAAGTGATGAGGATACGAATTGCTCGTCTGAACCCGACGTAGATGACGATTTTGAGAGCGATATTGCGATTCTAAGAGACTATTCCTTTATTACTTCAGGTGAACATAGCATGGTGTTCACGATGCATCGGCTTGTGCAGCTAACAGTACGGACATGGTTGAAAACCTATGGTTAGGAGGAGGAGTGGAAGGAACGTTTCGTTTACACGTACGATGGACAATCTCTTTTCAAACTCAGAAAAACACTCCACTGTAGATATCACCCACTTGACCTGAGATGCCTGTTTGGGCACTGAACTGGGAGCTGAGATAATCTCCCATCGTTGGGGCATGTGCATCAGGCAACTGGTTCCAAGGAAAGTAAGGCGGGTGGTAAAGTGTCTGCGGAGCAGCGGGTTGCAGATTTAACAACAAATTGGGGATATCCTGCATTGAAACTAGAACCATGCGTTCATCGGCCGCCTCCAAGTCCAACGTGAGATCTTCCATTGTGTAACAGTCGTTAAGGAATGGAGCTTCCGAGTGCGGGTGATGAGGGTGGTCAGTCTCGCGTATGAGTTCTACGATGACGGGCTAGACTGGAGGACTGCGGTATGTCAGATAATGTATTCAAAACCGAGGCCGAACAGGGTTGCTCACGTCCGCAAATGCTTTCTGACAGCCCTGGTGCTGACATAAGTAAGGCTTATCACCAGTGGGGGTCCGTGAATGGACAGTCAGAGCACTGCAAAATCTGAGGCCTGGCGTTCAACATATTCAGTGTGTATTTAGAATTCAATACTACACTTCCCTGGATCCCAGGCTGATCGTCCGGGGTCAAAGGCGGAGTGGTAGACCTAGAGTGATCGATAGCGTGTATCAGCTCGCTCATTGGGCCGAATATGCATGCATGAAAGTAACGTTCCTCAATATGTCATGCTGGGAGAAAAAAGTCAGAATCGCCTTAGGGTATTGAGCTTTTGGAATGATCGACTCACTTGACCGTGATAGTTTTCGTCTGGGTGTACTCTGCGAGCGCGTCCTGACCCAGCTCTCGCCCCAACCCACTCTGTTTAAATCCTCCAAAAGGCACGCTTGTGTCGAGCACACCGCAGCAGTTAATACCAACCGTCCCACTGGAAATCGCGCTGGCGATACGAATTCCGCGATTGATATCTTGGGTAAAAACAGCACCAGCCAATCCAAATTGCGTATTGTTGGCTTGGGAAATGACTTCTTCTTCATCAGTAAACCCAATGATGGCAACCACAGGACCGAAGACTTCCTCTCGGCTGATTTCAGCATTTGGAGTTGGGTCCACAAAAATTGTTGGCCGCATCCAATGACCCTGATCTAGTCAGCCCATGATCAACCTCTTTATCGGACAATACATACCTTAGCAAACATAGCTTGCCCGCCAGTAACGAGGGTTGCCTCCTCTTTGCCGCGATCAATGAAGCCTTTTACCCTATCAAAGTGGCCCTGGTCGACGAGAGGTGGGAAATCAACATCTTCGTCAAGTGGATCGCCAAATGATTTATCCATGCTTTCAAACGACGCTTTCATCTGTTCGACCACCTGCTTCTTAATGCTCTCGTGAACATAAACCCGAGAGCTAGCAAAGCAGATCTGGCCAGATAGTACCAGAACACCGTTCACGCACCAGGGGATGGCCACATCTAGTTTTGCATCGGGGAAAATAATGCTCGGACTTTTCCCTCCTAATTCCAACGCAACACGCTTCAAATTGCTTTGGGATGCAGCTTGAGCAATCCGCTTTCCGACACCAACACTACCAGTGAAGGAAATTTGATCAATACCCATGTGCTTCGCAAGGAGACTACCAGCGAGTTCTCCACCAGAGATGATATTGAAAACACCAGGAGGTAACCCTGCTTCGTTCGCCAGCATTCCGAGATAAAGTGTTGACAGCGGAGTCTTTTCGCTAGACTTCATGATCAGGGTATTACCAGTAGCCAGGCACGGCGCAGCCTTCATAGCCATTCCCATAATAGGAGCGTTGAACGCCGTGATAGCCGCACATACGCCCAATGGCTCCCGCTGAACGATGTTGAGGAAACCATTGCTAGTAGGAAACGATTCTCCATGTATCTTACCGCACCATCCAGCATAATCTGCTCGGATCAGTATTCCTGCCTTCGAATCTTTTTGCGGGGGGTTTTCTTACATCTAAAGATGCTGACTGCTTGTGGTAGCTCATACCCCCGGAACAGTTTAACGGGCTTAACGTTGCACACTGCTTCCAAATGGGCGATCTTGTCGGCATCCCGCTCCAAGAGATCAGCGAATTTGTGTAAGATACTCGCCCTCTTCTCGTGGGGAAAAGCGGCCCAGCTTGGAAATGCTGCCCTTGCAGCAGTGACGGCGCCGTCGACATCCTGCTGAACTGCTTCGTGCACATTTGAGGTGACAATCGAACCGTCGACAGTGCTGCGGCAGTTGAACCGGGCAGGTGTTTGAGCATCGACATACTAAGACATAGTCAGCTCCGTATCTCGCTCGTAGTCGGAGGCTACATACTGCTCCTTGGACAAACAGTCTGGTCTCAAACGACTCGGTCGTAGTACTGTGCGTCATAGTGAGAGCTTACAGCGCAATGCCAGCTATAAAGGAAAAAAGGTTAGGGGTCAGAAGGCGGGCTCCAAAGTCTTGGTTTCTGCGGTAGCAGAATGGTTGTGTCGAGAGAAATGAAGAAGAGACTGTTAGGCTTTAAGAATACGTGGTTATGCTTCAGTCATTTTATTGCGTCAAAGACGGGCCAGGGAATGACGGTGAAGGTGGCTCCAAAGCGGGCCTGTTGTCCATACTGTAGAACTAGCTTGAACCTTAGCATCTAGACCAAGATTCACAAGGCCAGTCAGCCACAAAACACTGTGGAAACCAAGATTTTGGGTGGAGATAGTTCGTATTTGCTGTCGAAGATCCACTCCCGTGCGTGTGGGTCATGGGGGCAGCCACACTGATTTTTGCGTTGATTGGAGAATGTCCTAAACGAACGAAATCTCGATTATCATTGATCAACCTTCTCGGCTTTCAGCAAGGGTCACGGTTTTGGCTTACAATTACTTTGTTATTTTTGGTCTAATCTGCAGCCCCTCCCAAGGTCAGTAATATACTCTCATACCGCTCTTTTTCAAGGCTTTTTCAAGCTTAAGAGCAAAGAAAGTCTGTTGCCATGGACCTTACTCAGAACTCCCATGCTCTCTTAGCCTTGGGTAGTGGTATTACTCTTCACCATCTGTTCTACCGCTTGAGCGAGTGGGATACTAGATCTCTGTCCCTGTTGACTTCGTATATCTTTGTTTTTGCCGCTGGGAGTGTTAGCATTTGGTTTTTGAACAGCCAAACAAAAGCTGTCATCCCTTTCTCACCAAATGCGTTCCAAAAGCTTTGGCTCTATCACATCCTCGGTGTGTACAGCAGCATGCTGGCCTACCGAGGATTCTTCCACAGACTGGGCAAATTCCCTGGTCCTTTCTTTGCTCGGTTTTCCAACTTCTATCTGACAATGATGTCTTCCAAACTTCATCTCTACAAGGAGATTGACAGGCATCATGAGACATATGGAGACTATGTTCGGACAGGTAATGTGACAAATCCTTTTTGGCACAGTGATGTTTCTAACTATTCCTCGAATTCAGGTCCTACCGAGCTCTCAATCGCAGACCCAGCAGCTGTCCAGTCTATTTACGGTACCCAGTCAAAGACCACGAAAGGTCCTTGGTATACGTTGCTCGACCCGCGAGTGTGCCTATCATTCACCAGAGACAAGCAAGAACATGCGCGTCGTCGGAGAGTTTGGGATCACGGCTTCAGCACCAGAGGTAATATTTATTTGGACTGTACAACAAAGAATATACACTAACATTAACCCTTCCATAGCAATCCGCGCCTATGAACCGATCGTTACAAAGTACGCCCAGCAACTCGTGGGAGTCGTGGAGCGAGACATTGCCAGTCCAATTGATATGACGCGGTGGTTCAGCTACTATGCATTTGACGTGATGGGAAATCTTGCCTTTGGAAAATCATTCAATATGATTGCCGACGGCAAAGAGGCCTACTTCCTAAAGACCATTAGGACGGATATGACAAACATTGGCTATCTCAAACATATGCCGTGGATATTCCCTATCCTGATGAATATTCCGCTCCTCAACGCAAACAACCTGAGGTTCTGGAAATGGATTGAAACTCAATTCCTGGAAAGGAGTGCAGTAAGTGCACGATCGCGTGGTAATTCGGCAGAGAAACTAGGCTAACCGGTATTTACAGAATGAACCGGAGCAGCGAGATATCTTTTCTTGGATTCTTGATGCATACAAGAAGGGCCCCCAGTCAAACCAAGACATGCTCAACCTCCATGGAGATGGCTATCTTATTGTTGTGGCGGGAAGGTAAGAAAACCATCAATTTCTTTGAATATTCACTTTTGCTTACCATATCCAGTGACACGACTTCTACAACTCTATCGCATCTTTGGTTCCACCTTGGCAGTAACAAGGCTCTAGTTCAGAAGCTTCAGAATGAGATCGATGCTCTTCAGGAGCTGAATGATGATACGATCTCCAAGATCGATCTTCTCGATGCCGCAATCCACGAAACACTTAGGTTGCATCCAGTGGTTCCTTCTGGCCTTCAGAGACTCACTCCACCCGAGGGTATGACCATTGGCGAGACATATGTTCCCGGAAACACCATTGTCCAAGTTCCCTTGTACACGATATTCAGAGGTCAGTTCATTTTGGGACGCAAATTGTTATTGGTCCTAACCCAGTTTCACCAGACCAACGGGCATTCGAG